TGCACGATGCAACCTCTTTGGCCGCCTCTGAATGCTCACTCTCCCAACCTTCAGGTGAGACTACTGCGGCTCCGATGGAGCTTTACTCGCATTCCCACTCTTTTCCTCCACCTTCCTTTCTTCCTTCACTAAACAATCGGTCCTGGATCCTTACTCTTCTCCACAGCACGTTATGTGAACGCTCTAGACTTTCCTCAACCAATCCCCCCCTCCCCCCCCAGGAACACTTGGGTGGGATTTAGTCATTTACATTGCATATAGCAACCTTTTGCATATTATTTTTTTTAACAGTTGTGCCAGTATTATAAGAAGTCCCTAGAAATGAGCCCGCTGGATTAAAGGAAAATACATGGATAGTTTCTTAGGTGTTGCTGGGTAAGTCCCCTCCTCCCAGATACTGTGATGCCTGAGTCTGTCTGTCTTTCAGGGCTTCCCTAATGAGCCCGGTCAAAAGCCTGGGATGTCTGCCCATCTGACTGAAAAAGGATCTCTCATTGGGTTTTACTTATTTTCTTTTGTAGCTGTCATGAGAATATATACAGCGAAGTAGACACCAATTCAAGTTTCTGCCTGTACAGTGTGGTGGCCCTGAGACGATCTTAAATTGCATAACCATCCCCCTCCTTTGGGGTTGTTCCTCCCTCATTAACATCCACACATAGCCCAGGCTCTAATCTTTTCAGCTGCATTCATGTTTGATCCCATCTCGATAGCTCTTAAAAGAGTGATCTTGCTCAAGGCAGACATTTTTTTTACAAGTTAAGCCAAATTATGGTTTGGTTTCGAGATCTCAGGGAAAGTCTTGATCTGAGGTGTAGATTGCCGCAGGGCAAGAGTTTCAGGGGCTCGTCCAAACTTCACAGCCACAGAATGGCTGAAGTTCTTTTTTGAAAGATGTCTGAAGTCGCATCCTGCATTTTCTCTGGTGATCAGGATTCTGCCAAAGAAATCTTTGATCAAAATGTTCAGTAATGGTAGCAGGGCACAGTCCGGTTATTCTCGACTCCCGGAAAAGGGAGCAGTTAGCCACATCCCATCTTCTCCTCCCTCTGCTGCTCCAGGTGAAGAGAGACCAATTGCTACGCCTTGGTTGGACACATGTATGTATGCTTTTTTTAAATGTTGGGAACTAGGCATCAAATTACAAGCTAGCACAGAAGCAGTCAACATGTTATTAGGTCAGTCAGGTAACTGGAATGTCTCATGATCCTATGACTAGAAACTGTGCATCCAGAATTAACCATGTTCCACAAGATTGTGGGTGGTCCAGCAACAACCTTCAGTAGCTTCCCTGTTGTATGGTCACACTTCTGCTGACGGAGTCGTCAGTCCCCAGGCACCACTTTGTCTTCTCACTCCTCTGTTAGCGGGCATGGGCACACAGGCTTCCACCGGGGCCATTGTGAACAGTCCTGCAACATTGGTGTGTCAGTCTCTCGTTCGAGTCTTTGCTCTCGAGTCTGGTGTGTCTACACCCAGGAGTAGAAGTGCTGGGTCCTGCGGCAGCTCCCTGCTTCGTCTCTGAGGAGCTGACCTGCTGTTTCTACAACGGCTGTGCCATTTTGCACTTTCCCTCCAGCAGTGGACAGAGGTTCCAGTTTCCCCACATGCTTGTCAACATCTGTGATTTTCTGTCACGCAGGGACAAGGAAATGCTATCTCATTGTGGTTTTCAATATTGCATCTCAGACGATTAATGACAGTGAGCTTCATTTCGTGTGTCCAGTGGCCATTTCAATGTCTCCTTTAGTGAAATGTCTATTCAAGTCCGTTGTCCATTTTATGACTGTGTTATTTGTCTTTTTGTAATTAAGTTGTTAAAAATATATATATAACATTTTGGTTATTAGATGCTTTTCGGATATATGGTTTCTGAAGATATTCTCCCAGTTTGTCTTTCTGGGTACACTCTTTTGATGAACAAAGGTTCTAAATTTTTGAGGTTCCATCTATTTTATGTTTTGCCGTTTTTGTTCTATTAGTTAATCTGCTGTCAAAAGCTAGGTCTGACAGTGGTGCCCACTCCCCCGCCCCCCATTTTTTCTTCTAAAAATTTTATGGTTTTAGTGTGTACATTTTGAATTTGCTTTAGTGGAGATCTGACCCACAAGTCCTATGATTTTAATTTATATTGCTCTTACAACAAAACATTTTAATAACCTGCTAATACTGGTTCTCAAGTAATTACCATAAGAATTCCTTTGAGAAATAGCATTGTGACTTGAAAAAATACGAAGTGACCCAGCGAAGGAAAACTACACTTCACCACAACTTAGCAAACCCAGCGACGCCCTGGTCATTGCACAGCTCCACTCCTGGGACATAAAGCCCAAATCTCGCCGGGCAGAGGGCCACAGTTCAGTAGGCACTTCATTGCCGTGCCTACACGAGGCTGTCTGCTGCTCTGAAGATTCAGTCTCAGAAACCCCACCTCGGGTCACTATGAGTCAGAACTGAGTTGATGTCGTGTGGGCTTTGGGGGGACCCTTCACATGGTATTCTGGCAGGCAGACAGACAAGTCTGAATAACACTTTTGATGACCCCAGGAATGAGAACACACATTTTTGTCAATCCTAAACAGCCTATAACCTTGATTATAATTGCTCCAATTGTGACACTTGGCAGCAAAGTTGCCAATGAGCATGTCACTTCACCTCTGGAATTGTGCACGGTAACCCAAGGTGCTAAGATCAGCCAAGAAAGGAAACGATCATTTGTCACAAGAACTGAATGGTGTGCAAGCTTACCTTTCCATTTAGCAACCAGCTTAGGATCTGAAATGGTGAAGTTTGGACGGCTTCTTGACAGAATACCTTTCCCAAAATAACCCTTCCAGGAAGAGGGGGAGGAAAAAAGAAAAAGTTAGTTCATGTTCAATTATCAACTTGTTAGTTAACTACTTATGTTAACAGCGGGTTCAAGCTGTTTTTCATAGCTCACTATAACCATCTTAGTATCTTATCTCTTTGATAGTGTGAGGAGTAATAATAAGGTCTTGGTCCTCCTCATTTCTTTCACAACAAATGGCTTCAGGCTGTGTCTGGTGAGCTGAAGGCAGCAGGGCAGGTAGCAGCACAGCACACCTGAGCTTTGGCTACTGAGGCACAAAATGCTTCCTGAATATTTTTCTTCCCCAACTGCATTGTGGTAAAATACCTACATACACCATTTTAAAGTATGAAACTCAGTGCCATGTATGACATTCACCTTGAATTCCTTTTAGGCCTAGCATGGAACTACTTCTTTCCTTCCTGCTGATTCATAAACAACATGCCTATCTACTTCATGTGCAGAGAGAAAACACATTAGAGGTTGCCCCGCCCCGGGAGTGGGAGGAGAGACTAACTGTCAACAGGTGCTGGGGACTTTGTGACGATGGAAATGCTTGGAAACTGGCCTACAGAGATCCTTACAGTTACTACTGTCTTTGAATGGAACACTTAAAAGAGGTGGATTTTATGGTAGGCAAATCATTCCTCTCTCCCGCTGTTAAAGATCAATGCCCCCAGCAATCCACGGGTTATGGAGAAAACAGAAAGGAAGGAAGGAGAGAAAGGAAGGGAGACAGGTTACCAGTCTCAACCCCAACACAGCACTGCTGCTGAAAAACAGGAGAGACTGGAGCCAGTCCTCACCCAGGAGGCCCCTACCAGGAGAGGAGCACTCACAGCTGGAGCCGGAGCCGGAGCCGGGCGCACCCTCCAGCCTTAGCCCCTGTGTCTGCACGCCACAGCCATGGCTCCCCACTTACCAGCAGGGGAGGGAGACACCCAACACCTGCCACCACGACGCTCGCTCACACCTACTGGCCTCAATCCTGATCCTCCTCGTCTTATCCCGACAGGGAGGTGGCTCTCTTGTGGGGGTCACGGGGGTATAGCTCTGAAGCATCAGCTTCAAAACTGATCCATGGGAAAAGAAAGAAAAAAGCCAGGAACGGTATGTTCCTATGTGTTTAACTCTGGGAACAGGGCTGGGGGTGAAGGGGGCATCTTTAGCATCATATTTATACAGATTGCTCTATCTTTTTAAAAAAATGAATATGCATTGTCTTTCAGCTGAGAGAGAGAGAGAGAGAGAGAGGTCAACCCACTGACTCAATTTTATTGCTGAGATGCAGGTTCCCAGGGGCATCCCACCTGTCATTTCTTTAGCTTCATGACGCGGCTCTGGGAACCCGATTCTCACAGTGCTGGCCCGCCACTGTAGCTAACTACAAGGGAGGCATCCACGTGGCTTGCGGTCAGTTTGGGGGTGGGGGTGGGGGAGGAGAAAGGGCAGCTTGTTAGAGCTGCCAGGCTTACTTTCCCATAGAGCTGCTTAATATCCTCTGCGTCCCTCACGATGATGTTGTTGCTCATCAGCTCGGCCCGGTATAGTCTGGATCCTCTCCCAGGGCCCTGGTCCTGCCCAAAGGGGACCGGCAGTGGAGACTCATAATGCTCATACACTTTCCTCTTCCTCTTCGGGGCCCGGAAAACCGCTTCTGCCATCCTCCCCAGCCAACTGCTCCTTCAAGTACAGACCACAAGGAGAGAGAAATAAGACGAGTGATTGATAACAACATTGATAAAACACGTGGCTATCGTAATAAACTCTGTGGTCTCTGGGGAATAAAACCCAAATGCACGTCACATTTATGAATCAGTGAACGAAAAGACACAAAAGAATAAGAACATTATGTACGAGCAATGCGCCTAGAACAGCGGTTCCCAACATGCGGGCCACGACCCCTTTGGGGGTCGAATGACCCTTTCACAGGGGCTGCCGATTCATAATAGTAGCAAAATGATAGTGATGAAGTAGCAACAAAAATAATTGTATGATTGGGGGTCAGCACAACAAGAAGAACTGTATGAAAGGGTCACGGCATTAGGAAGGTTGAGAAACACCGTCCTAGAATATCTTAAGCTCTACGACAAAGCCCTGGAAGTCAGTGCCCTTGCAACAAAGAAAGGTCCGGATCAGAGTTTTCAGTGGGGAATTTTACATAAAAGAAGTGACCTCCATCCTTCCTACCAAAACTCAGATGAGAGGGTGGAGTCTAGTCTGTCAATCAGGTCGCAACTTGATGACCTCATTTTGGAGGTTCTACGGAGATAAAAAGCTCGCTGGAGGCAGGAACACACATTCTCTGCTTGGTATTCCTGATGACAAGACACATGGAGCCACGCTAGAGCTCTGGAGCTGGAGAAGCCACGTGGAGATCCACGTCAGTGATGAGATGCTTATACCGCCACTGGATCCACAAGACTTTTCACCCACTGGCCTGTGATCTTCCTGCATTCTGTGTCACTGCATGTGTTTCATGATTCTGCAGAGGAAGTTATAGATTGATATCGGACATATGGGCTAATATAGGACTTATGGACTAGATCTGGACTGGGTTGGGATGTTTTCTCAATATTCAATTGCTCTTATATATAAAGCTCCTTCTTATACACACGAGTGTCTCTGAATTTGCAATTGCTCTTATATATAAAGCTCTTTCTTATACACACGAGTGCCTCTGAATTTGTTTCTCTAGTCTATCCAGACTAACACACTCACCAACTCATTCTACAAGGCAAGCATCAACCTGACATCAAGTCCAGACAAAGACACCACAAGACCAATAACCCCTAAGAATTCTCAACAAAACATCTAAAGGATTCTACTCCATGACCAAGCACGATTTATCCCAAGAGTGCAAGTTCAGCGTTCAAAGATATATCTGTGTAATACACCACACTGTCAGGAAAAAATGAAAACACGCGAGCACCTCAGTCCATGCACAGAAGGCATCTGATAACATCTAATGTATTTCTATGAGAAAACAAACACCCCCAAAACAAACACCAAACAAAATGTGATCAGGGAGGAATAGGAGGAACATTCCTCATTATGAATAGGGCATTTCTGAAAAACCCACAGCCACCATCGTACTTCATGTCGGAAGACTAAAAGGGAGGACCAGAAGACTAGCCGAGAAGCTAAGTGAGACAGCTACAGATGACAGTCCTGGGTCCACCTCCCGGGTCAGCAGCTGCTCGGACACTCCCCGTTGCCAGGGCTGTGCCCCACCTTTTCAGTTTTCTAACTTCTTCCCTTCATTTCTTTGTCCCCTCTATCCTCCCTGCCGCCCCCCAATTTTCCTGGTCACAAAGAGTGGGTGAACTTTGCTAGCCTCTTCTCTGGGCAGCAGCACCCTCTGAGGATGGTGGTGCTCACTACCCTGGATGGTACCGGGGGCAATGGGCACAGGAAACCCAGAAAGTGGGAGGAGGGCTGTTACACGGGGAGACTGCAATCAGCAGAATCAGCAAAGTGTGTATGAATTGTTGACTAGACAGTGAACCTACTCTGTAAACCCTCCACCACATCACAACAGAGTTAAAGAATAAAAACACAAACAGCTGAAGGAGCGTGCTACCAATGGTGAAGGGGGTATTTTCACAGAACCAGTATTTCCCCCCACCTTATCTCCACTTGATGTTGATCAAAATACACCACTGGACAATTAAACACCACCAGCCTCTTTATGGGGAAGGGGAAAAGAATGAAAGTGTCCTGTAGCAGTAGAGCCCTGGTGGTGCAGTGGCTACACAGTAGGCTGCAGTCCCAGGGTCAGCAGTTCTAAACCACCAGTTGCTCCATGGGATACATATGAGGCTCTCTAATCCTGCCAAGATTTACAGTCTCAGAAACCCACAGGAGCAGTTCTACTCTGTCCTGCAGGGCAGCTATGAGTCAGAACTGACTCGATGGCAGTGAGTTTGGTTTTATTTTGTGGTAGGAGTCAGGATGTGGTGGAAGCAAGCTGCAGTTTTCTAAATGAGAACGTATTTCTGGCCGTCAGAGAGTGGAGGCCTGCAGGGTAAGTAGAGCCTTCCAGCCTGTTGCTGCTGGACACACCCAAGTGTATCTGCCACTCCACTTCCAACTGTCTGCCTCACTGACAAACTTGTTTTTCCCATTAGGCGCTCATTAGTTCACTAAGTACAGTGTGCTTCTTTTTCTCAGACCACACCACACCACAGAACCATCCTGCCCCATTACCCTCAAATTATTATGGCCACAGCTCGCCATCTCGACTCCTTCCTTGGGTGCATGGTCAGCCACGGCGAGGGCCGGAGTCTCCTCAGCTGGCACTTCCTAAATTAAGAGGTCCATATCCAGAGAGTACCCACAGGGCCAGGGGCCATTATCCCGACTTGTAAGTAATAAACACAACAGTGACAGCAGCAAGGATCACTTGTAGGTCTACGATGTACCCCCAGTGCTAGTGCTGAAGGGCAGGGTCTCTGAGGGCAGAAAAATGCCAGGGTCAGAACCCAGCTTCCCACCTGGCCGTGGGCAGGAGTCAATTACCTCCCTGTGCCCTAGTTCCCTCCTCTGTGAAATATGGATAAAAATCGACTCTCACGTGTCCTCAGCATGCAGAGTGCTTAGGACAGGACTCGCACATGCGAGCACATGGATGTCTCTATTACTATTATTTTCAGGGGGTGGGAATTAACAACAGATGCAGATTGGAGGGAGTTGCTACAGGCCCTGGACGACCTCATGTCGGTTGAGCTCCAAAGCCCTAGCTCTTCGCTCTGGGTTCTGCTGTACACACCAGTCCAGCCTGTCCACCCCTCAGTGTGGGACATTTCTCAATGTTAAGAGTGTGCTGTGGAGACCTGCATTCCCTCAAAAATGTGTTGAAATCCTAACCCTGGTACGGATAAACACGATCCCTATCTGGAAATAGAGGTTTCTTTAGTTGTGTTAACGAAATCAGAGTAGGGTGGGTTGTAAACCTAATCACCACCCCTTACCTCGTCCCTCTTTCTCCATTTTTTGTTCCTGTATCTTGTCCCCCGCCCCTTGGCCCCCTTCCCCATAAAGAGGGAAGAATGGACAATGACACAATGGGGGACAAGGAAGAGAGATGCACCTGGAAGCACAGGGGCACTAAGAATTGCTGCCAACAATTACTCTGAAATAGACACGGGCGGACATCCCCTGGAGCCAGCCCTGAATTTGGATTCTAGCCTCCTAAACAGTGAGTAAATACAGATCTGTTCTTTAAAGTCACCCACTTGTGGTATTTTGGTAACGGCGGCACCAGGTTAACTCTGGGAGGCCCATCGGTGCCCAGCACTACCATGGAGTCAGTACTTGGCCTCCCAGGCCTTCCTCTCGCGGAGGCAACAAACTAAGTGCAGAACAGGCCAAGTAAGCAAGTCTGAGGGTGTAAACCCTGGAGGAAGGAAGGAAAGTAGAATGTGCAGGGTTGACAGAGGCACGCCAGGTGCATGTGACCTATGAAAACTCCGCCA